AGTTCCACTATTGTTACAAGCCAAAGAACCTTTTTTGGTACTATATAGAACCCTTTTTGCTAAGAGTGATAGATGCTGTGAGGTGTCTGTTCCCACATGCGACATTACCATGAAATTATACCGGATTGACGTAAAAGTAACGTTAATTCTGATCTGACCGTTCAGACAGAGGTTTGGATGTCATATATGTATCACATTTTTACAGTACCACAAATGAAAATGGCCCAAATCAGATTCTGTGTTTTATTCTGGGCCACTTTTACATGCAGTGTGAACGTAGCCTTAGAGACTGTAGCCTATCTCTCCCTGTTTGTGTTAGTCATCCTGTAGTCCTTCATCAGTGGTCAGTTTCTGACCGCATAGCCACTCTTGACTGTGTGTTTTCTTGAGACCACTCTTCATTTATTTAATTTCCAGTCAAAACAGCCAGTAAGTACAAGTTATTCCCTTTTCAGCGTCAGAAGAAACAGGAAACATATATTTCAGTGAGTTTTGGGATGACTGAAGTTTGGGGCGAGGAATACGCCTGAAAACCCTCCTCCATCCAATCTAACACCCTATGAATTCACATCCTTGCCTTCTGTTAGCCGTGACGAAGTTCTTGCAGTCCCAAACAGCACCCCACCCCCACCACACCCCCCCCCGTTTCTCGGTCCTATGACAGTCCTACTACAGTTACAAGGGTCCGGCCTTCCAGCTACAGGCAGAAGCTGCCAGAACTCCAGCCCAAGTTCTCCAAGCCTTTATTCCAGCTTCCATTCTTTTCGGGAGACTCACTTTCAGTTTGTCAAAGAAATCTGCAGACACGCCTCCAAAGTTCAGTCTTAGAAGCTGGTTACATTTTCTGCGCCTCACGTTTCTGCCTCAGATGTCCAGTTTCAGTGTTCTAGAGCTAATGTTCTTCATTTTTGCCTATTTCCTTTTCTCAGTGAGGTTCTTCTTAATCAGCTACACATCCTTTCAGACCCATAGTGCTGAGTCGTCTTCTCACAGTGGAAGGATGGACAGAAACACCTGTGGATGTTTTCAGATCTGAAGCAGCTTGATTTTCTCCTCTCTCTCAAAGATGATAGCTTTAAGTGCTGTTGCTCTGATGGGGGCAGTTTTTGTGTCGACCAGGTCTTCCAGGTTGTTGTTAGGAGGCATATTTCTCTCTAGCTTTTTGGAAATTCATGTTGTTTCACTTTTGACACTCTCCTTCCTTGTGCAGGTGGATTATCTTATGTCTAATCTTCTCAGAAATATCTCCAGTGCTTAAAGACTGTTTTGACTGGAAATGTAATGAATAGAGTCTCTGAGTTCTGCGCAGTGCTGTATACTTACTAACTGTATGCATGGAAGCACGGCACTGAGACACGTAGTGAGACAAGCCCCTGCCTGTGACTGCTGTGCTCCTGAAGCACATGGCTGTCATTCTCCTGTAGCGGCGGGGAGGGTGACGGGGGGAGTAGAGCCCCTCGGGTTGTTGCGCTTATTGGGTTGGACTCGTTAAACTGAACTCCCTCAGCGTGGATTAGGCAGCCTCTAAAAGCCTGCCGTTCAGCTGGCAAACTACAACAGAAGTGGGGAGATCGCTGTGTGAGTCCTGGCCTTCACTTCCATCCACAAAAAAAACAAAAACGCCTGCTGCTGAGAAATAAACAAGAGCAAAAGAAAACTAGTGACGATAAACAGTTCGGAGAGCGACTAATCCGAGGTGTTTGTACCTGTGTTTCAATGGGGGAGAGAAAGAGAGAGAAGGAGGCCGAGAACAGGGCCATTACTGTTCGATCATTGGATTTGTCCTTGTTATTGATTTTTTTTTGTTTTGCTTTTTTGGATCAGGCCGAGCAATCTTTCTCCCGCAGCAAAGCAGATAAAGGCTGAAATAAAGTGGAGAAATTACATCACCAATCTTCTCTTTCTGTCTCCCTCGCTCCTTTTTCTCTCCTCCGTCCGTCCCTTCTGTGTCCAATGAGTCATATTAAAGTCAGGGTGGGCCTACAGATGGCTGGGTGAAGGCTCTTGATAGCGCTGGTCATTTCCCTGCTGTAGAGATGGCCAGTGTGTGTGTGACCTGCTGCTTCGCTGGCTCCTTTGTATCGGGGCAGACGGTCACGCTCAGATATTTATCTAATCGCTGGGTTTATTTTCTTGGACTCTTTGGTGTCTGAGGTGCAGCTGAAGGTTAGATTTTTGCCATTTTCTGTTCAGTTTGAATCATGTTGTGGAGAATACACTGCAACAAAGACTTCTCAGCAAGGAAAACTTCTCAAGTGGTGTCAGTATATCTACAATTTCTTATTATGGGATTATTGTAAGAATATTATATGATTATTGAACTTATTTCTAGACATGTTTTACTTGTTTTAAGTAATTTAATCTCATGAAAGTGTCTTTATTCCATTGGCAGATCATGTTACTTGTTTTAAGCATTAATTCTTGAAGTATGTAAAATGATCTGCCAATGGAATAAAGACACTTTCACTAGATCAAATTACTTAAAACAAGTAAACATTTATAGAAACAGGTTTAAATAATCTTATAATATTATTTCATCATCTCATAATGAGAAATATTAGATATATCGACTAGATTTAGGGTGATTTTACTTGCTACGATATCATTTTTTGCAGTGTAGCTTGTGTTTGTGTCACTGTATTTTTAAGCTGCACAGCAAAAAATATTATGTTGTCAAGCGAAATTATCTGAATTCTAGTCGATATATTTAATATTTCTTATTTTGAGATGATTTTGCAATTATTTTAAGATTTAGCTTATTTCTATACATTTTTACCTGTTTTAAGTAATTTAGCTTGTTTTAAGCACATTTATATACATTCATATATAGTGAGATATAGTGAGATAATTTTACTTAATAATAATAAAATTACTTAAAACCGGTAAAAAATGTTTGGAAATAAGTTAAATTATCATAAAATAAGCTTACAACAATCTCAACAGGAGAAATATTAGATATATCGACTAGATTTAAGATACTAGATTTAAGATAATTTGACTTGACAAGATATTATCTAATAAGAAATATTAGATATATCGACTAGATTTAAGATAATTTGACTTGACAAGATAATATTTTTTACAGTGTGGAAACTCAGAACGCAGGTTTTGAACAGTACACGGTTCTGATGCTGGTATCTGATCTTTTTCATGTACAGCCAAAAGAATTACTAGTATTGATTTTCTGGAAAACAAGTTAACACATCCTCTACAGAAAACACCCTTCAATATGGCATTTTTTCTGCATATTTGGGTTTAACATATTGGAAAAACCACATAAAATATAAAATGTGGCTTTTGCACAAGCTACATTTTATGTTTTATATATTTTCCCATTAAGTTAAATTCAGCAAATTAACTTTGATTGTGCATTAAAATGTACAGAAGTGTGTTCTCTGTAGAGGATGTGTTAACCCCTTACATGGTCAGGGCTCAACAGCAGGCCCAAAGTTTTATTACACACTTCTATAATCTAAGAATAGCTCAGCCAGTTTGCATTGAAGTCCCTGTAGTTACTAAATAATAAGCCATAGTATGTAATAAGCCTGGGATTTTAAGGGGTTTCACTTATTTTCACTTAGAAAATCAACGAAACATGTAATTTATCCAGGGGCGCCCAAACATTTGCATAGGACTGTTAATGCCAGTCAACATCAGTTTTTTTGAAGCGAATAACAGCCAATATACTGATATGGTTCATGATATTTTCATGCACCCTATTTGTATTTCTGCCTATCTTCTCTATTTCTCTAACTCCCACCTGCACTCTTAAAAATAAAGGTCCCCAACAGGGTTCTTGCCACCGAAGAGCCACTTCTGGTGCCTTTCAATTGGTAGTTCTTTAAAGAACCTCTTTTTCCAAGTGAGAGGTGTGAGTTTCAAGAGCCTTTATAAAGTTTAAAGAATCTCCATATAATGTTTCCTTTTCTCCTTTAAAAAGCCAAGAAGAACCGTCTAGGAGTCTTTATTTCTCCCAGATCTTTTTCTCTCAGTTTTCTGATGCCGTCCTGCATTAGTCTTCGGCTTATCTCATGGATCTCTCTCTGCTTCTGTTGATCTCACTTGTAAACGTTGGCTATTTGTATCTTAACTCCACTATCTGGTTCAGCCCAGAGAAGAATAGGTTCCTCTTCTGGGTCTTGGTTCCTTGATTCGTTTCTCATGCTCTGTTACATCATTTTACACCAGAAGTGAGGCAGTGTGTGCCGTAAGCGTGCACTGCTCTGCGGCTGGACGCTGTTTCACACTGCACATGACCCACGTGCGTCACACTGATGAAACTGTCCACATTTCTTTTATCTGGTATTGAAAAAGTTATATATCGCTCGTATCTCCAGTTTTGTTGTTTTTCAGTTTTTGACATAATCTGAAAATACCTGTTGCTCTTTACATTGTTTGTAAATTTCATGATGAATGGACCAAAAGAAACGACCCAAAATTGCTTGGAAAAAATTCTGGTTCTATTGACTTACATTAAAAGTGAAGTAGGTTTTTTCCTTCTCCTGTAAAGTTACCATTTTGGAGATACGAGGTTTTTTCCAACAGCGATATATAACCTGCAGATGTTTAGGAACAAATCCTTTCTTATCCTACAGCTGTCTGCTGATTTAAACATGGGCCAAGATTGAATAATATTGCTAGAATACTGTACTTATTACTGTTTGTACGATGGAGACGAGCATCAAAAATACACACAAAGCTTATTTTTGTGCTTCATGCATGTTATTTAAACGTATTGCACATGGCCAGTGTGAAAGACTACACTGATTAACCAGAGCATCAAGTTTTAATGGCCACTGTCACCATCATCTTGCGCATTAGAGGTCTGGACACACACACATTTTGTATGTCTCATTTGGGACAATATTTGTTATAAAAATGGCTACATTAATAAAATTGAACAGACTGTTGGAACTAAATGGATTGTTCAGTGTTCTTTCCCTATTTTTTCACGTTGTTTTTTCCTGTGTTTGATTGTCCGTGTCTGTCGTCTCTCACAGCTCGTTCTGGAAGCCCACAATGTTCCCGAACTGTCTGCCGGCGTGAACTGCACTTTTGAGGACCTGGCTGAGATGGATGGGCTGGTGGAGGGAAATCGCATCACCTGCAGCTCCCCGGCTGAGAAGGAGGTGCCGCGCATCGTCGTAGACCAAGGTGTGAACACGCACTGTCCCTCTAAAGCTGGAAGCAGTAGACCAAGCCAATGCAATGACAAAAGCATGTCATTTTATATTAATTATTTCAGTAACACTTTACAGTAGGGCAGTGTTCATAAGGCTGCATGACACCTACTTAAGCTCTGACATGAACCTACATAAACACTTATAAATACTTATTCCAGTAGTCATCATTTGTCATTAAGATTGCATCTGCCATGTACACTTTCACTGTATCTCAGTGTGTATCACAGAAACACAATGCTGATGATACGACAGCGTGCACATCATCAGCATTATGTCACTGTGATATACTCTAGGCTACAAAGTCGTTATAATGTGCTGTCATTTCACCCAATGTCAGAAAAAATGATGTCATGCCACCGTGTTACGTCAGCTTAACATCAAAGTTGACAAACGATGCCAATTGGAATAAGCCTTTATAAGAGTTTATGCAGGTTCATGTCAGTCGTCATGACGAGCTCATGCAGATGTTATGAACAAAGCCCATAGCTGTCAAGTCTGAGGGTTTACTTGTGAGACTCACACAAGTTTGTTTCACGAATCTCTGACATGCTATGCAGCATCATCACAGTAACAGCTCAAACTGGACTCACTGATGTATTTGGGTTGCACCTCTCAAAGCTACTGACCAATCCAGCCACTTCACATTAAACACAAATTGTACTTGTCCAACAGAAAATTCCCCTGAATGCAGCGTTTGATACATCGTGAAGTCCAGTGGGAACGGTGTGAAGTTTAAAAAGCGTTGCTGCAGCGTTTGACATTATATGTTTTAATGCAGGCTAATTCTTGAACTTATTATTGAGTTCAGTGAACGATATGTGTATCAGCTGACTGAGCAAACATATATATATATATATATATATATATATATGTAATGATTGAAAACTCTGAATAAATGGAATGAAACTTGAGAATATGGAATGAAATCTGACATCATCAAGGCACTTTCATTAAATACATTCATTCTATACATTCATATATTCATATATATATATATATATATATATATATATATATATATATATATATATGTATATATATAGATAGATAGATAGATAGATAGATAGATAGATAGATATCATCTCTTTACATTAACTTACACTGAAAGGTAAGAGTGTTTTTGTCTTCTCCTATAAAGTTACCATTTTGCAGATACTTGTTTTTCTTTGGACAGCAACAGTAAATATATATATAATATATACATATATATGTACTGGCATTGAGAAAAGCAAGCCGAGAAATCTTGACACACTTTGAAACACTCCATAGACACCTTCCAGTGGAAGAGGAGAAAGACCGTCTATTCAGAATGCAAATTAAATGTAAATGCAGTTCATTATGTAATAAAGTATGTGGTTATGTAATTATATTTAAACAGTATAGCAAACCGTACCATTAACTCCAGACATACCTAAGCGTGAAAGCCAGAGTGGTAGTGAAGATGTGATGTGACTGCTTGTTGCACACTGGATGACACATTTGCACTGCCAGTGTTTTTGTACAGCCAGTCATTCTCTATGAAGCCACGCCAGACTGAGGCCCTGCTGTTTCCACACGGTGTTTGGAACAACACTGTAAAACACTGCGTATCAAGGAGTGTAAAATATTAGTGATTTCCAGAGCAGCGTCAAGAAACTACTTGCAGCGCCTGCTCAGGAAAATACAGATAATTGGCGCAATTACATCAGCGGTGAGTGAGGATGGTGGAACGCGATGGCGCTGTTGTTGAGTAAGGAAAACAGGAGCTGTACCTCCACCAAGATAAACACACGGCAAGCAAAAGGCCCTCGAAGCCAACCAATTTAACCCTGCGCGCGTCTCCACTTACTCACGCGGCACGGTAATTGGAGCGGTTGGATGGGACGATGCGCCCCGCGCTCCTGAGAGACTGCGTTAGCATCATACGCAAAAGAGGGAGGGGGTGAAGAGGGGGTGAGAGAGAGAGAGAGGGGAGGAATGAAAGAGAGACCCCGGAGCAGAGACGGATGCTTACATGCTCTTTTTGTTTCTCATTATCTCGCCTGCAGCTGTTGACTCGGTGCCGCAGGACATGTTTGTAATTGAGTGAATAATCATGTGCTAGATTGGCATTTCACTGCCACCTCCACCCTTAAGACAACCTCTCTCTCCCTCTCTCCCTCTCTCTCTCTCTCTCTCTCTCTCCCTCTCTTCACCTTCACCCTCTTTCTCACTCTGTCTCTCTTTATCTCAGCTTCTCTGTCTCTCTGTCTCACTTCTCTTTCTATCTCTTTCTCTTGCTCTATTTTCTCACTTTCCTCTCTCTCTCTCTCTCTCTCTCTCTCTCATTCTTTCTCCCCTTCACTCACTTTCCTCTTCTCTTTCTCTATCTCTATCTCTCTTTGCCTCAGCTTCTGTTTTTCTGTCACTCACTTTTTCTCTCTCTGCCTCAGCTTCCCTCTCTCTCTCTCTCTCTCTCTCTCTCTTCACCTTCCCTCTCTTTCTCACTTTGCCTCCCTTTACTTCAGCTTCCCTGTCTCTCTTTTTCTCTTCTCTCTCTCATTCTCTCCCCTTCACTCGCTTTCCCCTTCTCTCTCTCTTTCTCTCTCTCTTTGCCGCAGCTTCTGTTTTTCTCTTCTTTCCTCACCTTCGCCTTCTCTCTCTTTCTCTCACTCTCCTCTCTCTCTCTTTCTCTCTCTCTCCGTCCCTCACTTTCCCTTGCTTCTCTGTCTTTACTTTCTCCTTCACTTTCTTTTTCTATATTTCTCACTTCTCCCTCTCGCTCTGCCTGTTGTTCCCTCACTTTCTCACTCTTCTCTCTTTTCCCACTTCCCCCCTTTCTTTTTCCCTCTCTCTGTCTCTCTCTTTCCCTCATATCCCCCTTCCCTCTTTCCCTTACTCTCTTTCTGCCCCCCCCACTTGCCCATCTCTCTCACTCACTTTCTCATTCACACTCTCTCTCTCTCTCTCTCTCTCTCTCTCTTTCTCTCTCCCTGTGGGTTAGTTAGGTGAAGTTGCAGTGATTCAACCTCCTCGGCGGGTCAGTCCTCTCCACAGCCAGAGAAACACTCTGGACTGTGGTCATTGTGCTCGATAAGAAAGAGAAAGAACAAACACTCGTTCTCCTGCTCTCTCGTTTAGCACTGCGGTTGGTTAAACTCAGGATAATTGAAAAGTACTCACATCTGGCCAGCTGTCTGAGCCGGGCAATTTTTCATCGTATAAATACGTCGCAACGTGGCGATAATAAAGACGCCGCGCTCCGGCAGTGGCGAGGGAATTCCTCCACACGTTTACGCTGTACGAGGCAGAAAAAGAGCAGAAACGCTCATTTTTCTTCAAGCACGTAGACAGATGTTCTTTCTCTCCCCGGGTCTGATACAGAAAATAGTGGCTGAATAGGTTTAATTGAATGGGTTTAATTTCCTTTGAAGGGAAGGGCTGTTCACCGAGGCGGTGGCCGGGCTGTGGTGGAGAACCGGTTCTTTTTCAGCGCTGTTGATATGGCGAGTGTAAAGCTGTGCTTTAGCAGAATGGGCGGCTGGCTGGACGGTTCCAGTTGGAGATGTGAATGGGCGGCTGGGAGAGGGACTGTGTGAATAATGACAGGTGATGCAGGAAAGGCGGTCGGGCCACCGTGAAATTGCAGGTTTGGCCAGCCTGCTGGGGTCAAGCGATCCGGAAGAGTCCAGCTTAGGCCTCACACGCTCACAGAGTTGGAGCTCTCATTATTGTACTTCAGTACATTTTTCACTGTAACTTTTGAAGCATAATCAGTAAATTTACTTTCACTTGAGTTTAATTTATTTTATGATTAATACTCAAGTTCACTATTTTGATGTGTAGCAACAGAATTTTTAAAAAGGGTAGTGGACCACTGTTGGCCTGCTGATGGCAAAGCTGGCGGCCCGCTGATGTTTTCCTCAGCGTTTTCCGGGCAGTCCACCGATGTTTGAGCAGAGTATTAGACCAAAGTCCCACTTATCATCGCACATTTTCCACTTCCTTATTTTTCCTTCCTTTCTTTCTTTAGTTATCCTTTGTAAATTGGTTTAGTAAATAACTTTGATCAGTGTCAGCAACAACATTTTCTACAAAATGATGTTATTTTAGCCCTATTTTTTTCTCTCAGTTGTTTGTAATATTTGTCTAAGTTTGTTTTCTAAAATAAAATGCTATTTGCATTTAAAATCTGTTTGGGGAGATTAAAAACCAGTTAGAGGACATTAATCTCGGTGGTCCGAAGGTGGACCAGCAGTGTCGAACGGTCAGTGGGGTTCCGACCTTATCAAGCCAGCGAACCGATATATGCTCGCTATCTGTGTAGCTGGCTGGCTAATGAATCTAGGCTAAATAACATCAGTGCTCTTGTAGTTCTGTTAAAGAGCTCTCTTTTGTCTGAGAGTTTGTTAGAATAGCATAGCAGTTCTTTATTAAACCTAAAGCACTTGTTAGCTCGATCGTTTAGCTATTGTATGCTGTTTTAGGTTAGGTTTGTAAGCTGTTGTTTGTGTGTTCAGTTCCTAGTGCGTGTTAGTTTTACATTATAAGTACTGATCATAACAAATTATAAGAGCTCATAAGTCGTATTTGTCCGCTCTAAGTAAAGTGAAGCGTACTGTACTAAAGCCTCCTCCAGTGTTAAGAGGCAGTGGTCATTTTCTACACAAGGCAGATTATACAGTGTGTCCCAATTCAGGGGCTGCGTCCTTCGGAGGCTGCATTTGAAGGCTGACTGCGTCACTGCGGCGCCACTAGACTGTCCCATTTCGAAGGTTCCTTAATATGCGGCCGAGAAATGTGCCCTTCTTTTCCATGGCAATGAAGGTTCCAACAGGTACATCCTTCGCCAGCCAACATATCCCGAGGTTCATTGCGTGCCAATGATTCGAGAACATGGTGTCAGCAGAGAAGCGTTCAGCGGCTAAAGAGACACTTTTAGATATAAGTATTGGGTTTAAACTGAGTCGAACAGCGAACTCATCAGTGACCGGCGGTAAAGCATGTCCAGCTCTAATACATGAAAAAAAATGAAAAAAGAAAGAAAAGTTTCTGGCCCCATCTTTAAAGAAGTTTAAAGAACTTGACAGGGGCGGCGTTTTGTGGCGCAACGGTAAGGGCGGGAACAGCGGTGCTGTGACACAAACAGAAAATCAGCCGTAGGGCAGAACGCCTCATTTCAGTTCAGCCTTCGTGGGTCTACACAGCCTTGGAAGGACACGCCTTCATAGACCACGTCCTCCAAAGGATGCAGCCCCTGAATTGGGACACACTGATATTCTCATGTTGGCATGTTAACACTGAGAACAGAAAAATATATCGCTGTTGTCGGAAGAAAACCTCGTATCTCCAAAATGGTAACTTTACAGGAGAAGGAAAAAACCTACTTTACTTTTAATGTAAGTCAATGGAACCAGACGTCTTTCCAAGTAATTTTGGGCTGTTTCTTTTGGTCCATTCATCATGAAATTTACACACAATATAAAGGCCATCAGGCATTTTCAGATTATGTCAAAAACTGAAAAATGGCAAACACGGAGATATAAGGTTTTCTTCCGACAGCAGCGATATTTTCTTACTTTGGCTATCATGGTTAGTCGCACTAGGTGGCGTCAGACTTCTCTGTCACATCTGTGGAATATTACAGCATTTGTGTTTCCTAGAAATGTTAGCAAAATAAAATAATGAGAAGGCACTGAGTTGCCAGTTTGTTAGGTACCCCTCATTGGCCATTTCATCTTATATTAAAGGCTAACTAAAATACCCAGTTGGTTGCTAGGTTAAACATGCAGACATAACTATAGTAGTTTGCAATAAAGTTTGTACGATATCAGCTTTTCTGGTCGGCGCTGTGAGAGTCTCACGCCATCTTTAGACTTCGTCAGCTATTTTCCTTACACCAGGCCGGGTTCAAGCAGTGCAATTGCGTTAGATGGCGCAAGAAGAAGGTCATAGTTTTGCTATGCAATATCACAACGTCACGATGCGTTATTACACTCCTGTTCAGTTCTCTCCACTCATGCACACAGGCGAGCGCGTGCAGGTACACGGCCGATAAAGAGAAGATAAAACAAAGAGGAAGGTCATTTGTCAGCTCGTCTCGTCCTGTCTCTTCCTCTCTCCTCCTCAGCGTCATGGTAACCATATGTGTCCTGTGTGACTCATTAAGGGAAGCACGCTCTCCAGGATGTGTCAGGAGGCCTGCACACACACACACACACACACACACACACACACACACACACTCCAGAGATACCAGCCATCAAGGTAACATTTAGGTGGACTAATTAGGACAGATTCATTGTCAGGCACACTTTTCAGTGATTGATGAATGATTCCCTCTTTGTCGGGGAGACTGAGAGAGAGAAGGGAGGGGGGCGGAGAGAAAGAGTGAGAGAGAGAGAGAAGAGAGTGCTAAAGAAGAGGTGGGAGCGAATAAGAGACAGAGATAAAGGCGGAAAACGAGAGAGGGTGACAAAGAGAGGTGCGCGCTCTTCCTCCGAGAGGGGAGACGTCGGCGTCCGGCTCGTTGAATTAAACATGAGGTCCTTCATTAGCGCCGACAAAAGGACACAGAAAATCCTTTTGTGCCACATATTCATCAACTTGTACAGGTTCCTCTCCGTCTCTCCCTCTTTCTCCCTCTCTCTCTTTTTCCATAATCTCCCTTTTCAAAGGGACTTTAAAAGACTTTTGGATGGACGTGGATGTTTTGCATTCGGCAGATAGGAGGTGAAAACTCCCGCTTGTATAACAGAGTCCTGGGTGCGAACTTAACCCAGACTTGCCGCTTAGTTGTGAGGCCTAACAGTTACATTCCTGCTGCATACGCTTTAATGATGTTTGATATAGCATTACAGGGGAATTCCACCAGTCTTTCAAAATTTCCACTTAATTAAATGGTGAAGATGTTAAACAAAGTCATTCAGAGTAGTTTGATGTGAAATGTCTGGAGAAACTTTCTGAGACAGAATTGTTCACAGTGGTGGAAATGGGAACCAGATGTCTGATATGTATAATGTGTCTAAACGCTTCGAAAATTATTACATTTAATGATTACGCATATCATCGCTGTCTAAAATCTGTGAGAATTTCATGATGATTGAACCACTAGAAGTGCTTCAAAATTGCTTGGAAAAAATTTTAAAACATTTAACCAACATTAGTTAGTTACCATTTTGGAAAAGTTACCAAGTTACCTTTTTCTTTGGACGGCGACGATATGATGCCTGATGCACAAAACATTGTTTTGCGGAAGTTGTGAGCTTTTTGGCAAAAAATATATTTTTTTAAAATCTATTTATCACATAAAGTTACAGTTGTATGCAAACAATTGGGCACATTCTAGTCAAATGACATGTTTTGTTGATTATCTGAAAATAAGTCTACAGAGAACACACTTTTGCATTTTAATGCACACTCACTGTTTATTTACTGAATTTAACATATTGGAAAAAAGGTCATGACCCCTTTTATATTTTGTGTTTTTTTCAGCAAATAAACAGGAATTGTGCATTAAAAAATGGCAGAAAATGCCATATTTATGCTTGTTCCCTATAGGATGTGATAACAGTCAGGTTCCACATTATCTTCAAATTCCTGTTTCACGTTCTGTGTGATTATGCTTTGTTCGTATTGTTGTTGAATGGTAGCCTAATGCTCTTATTAAGCACCTTATCATCAACGCTTCATGCTCAGATGTTTATACAGTGGAGTGGTGTGGCTGGAATAAAATGGTTTAATTTTCTAACATGCTGATGTTCCTGCGTTTTCCAGGTGACCACCAGATTGTGCAGCTCTACCTCAAGTCCAAGGAGACGGGCCTGGCGTTTGCCAACACAAGCTTTGTCTTCTACAACTGTAGTGTCCATAAATCGTAAGTATCTTGGGTAACACATTATGCGAATAGCCCACAGTTGATGCCTTTTAGAGGATTATCTTGCATATAACTTACATTCAACTAAATGTCTATCAAATTCACCCTATGAATGACCTCAAATCAGAACCTAAATGGAGCGTCGTTTCATGCTTTATAGGAGGACTGGCATCTTTCAGCGCCAATTTTTTGCAGAGTATTCAGAGTATTCCACTTCTGAGGCAACCTACCAAAGTTGGGAAAATATAAATCTTGATGGAACTTTCCTCTGTGGTCAGCGTAATATCTACATGTAGCTAAAGTTTCTCCAGATAGTTTATTCATATTTTGAACATAGATAGTCCAGAGTGTAAATAAAGATTTGTTGCCAGTCTGCCTTAAAAACTTTTGTTAATTGAAGTTCTAATAATAAGGGAGCCACAACATTTTATGTCTGTTTTGCCATCTTGGCTGTAAATATGTCTCAGTATGTGCTGATGTGCTGGTATAGGCTAAAAAATATAAATAATAAAAAAAAAAAAAAAACACAGACTTACTTTGCTCTGCTTTAAGCTTTAGCTCAGCTGTAGCTGCTTTTCTTGCATCTTCAGCAGGAAACCTTTCCTCAAAAATGTAATGTAAAATGTCTCTCAACGTTTGATTTTTTACGAGGCTGAAGTCGCTTCTCATTCGCCAGCTTCTTGTTCAAATTTTCCCGTTCCACCTTAAATGGAGCCTGAGGTGCCAGAATTAAGGCATGGAACGAGAAAATTTGAACAAGAAGCTGGTGAATGAGAAACTGACTTCAGCTTTGCAACTTTTTAGTGTTCGATAGTTTCTCATAGCAGATTGAACGTATCAGGAAACCAGCTGGAGTGATTATAAATGTAAACAAGGTCAGTCGTCTCCAAATTATCGATGTTCGTCGTAAATCTTTCTCTTTGCCTTTTCGCTACTAGCTAGGCGAGATTGTTGTCTGCGTTGCTATGGTGACCAGGAGTCTGCATGCCAGCCTTCAGGGTTAAAGGGTGAATTAGCAGTTCTACATTAACTCCAGAGTTTAAGACCATTTATTGTTAAACTGTGTTGAACGATCAGCAGAGCTTTATTTTACTGCAAAGGAGAATTATTTTATTTTTACCTACAAATCTGATTCTGCTGTGGAGCCGCAACAGGACAGTAAAAGAGCCGCATGCGACTCTGGAGACGCATGTTGCCAACCCCTGGTCTAGAGGGTCTATCCAAACAGCCAATATCCAAAGTGGGACTGTATCTTTTTGTTAGGCCACACCCAGTATAATATCTCCTTGTAAACTGAAACCACTTTTTTGCTTTGTGTCTCTTTTTTTCAGGTGTCTTTCCTGTGTTGGAAGTCCATACCAATGCCACTGGTGCAAGTACCGCCATACCTGCACCCACGACCCTCGCAGCTGCTCCTTCCAAGAAGGCCGGGTCAAGCAACCTGAGGTAGGTTCTGAATTGTTGATTATCCCCCCAGCTCTGATTGGTTATCAGGAGTCCTACTATCTCATTTGAACTCCTGGTTGGTTCACCCTATCTGAAAACAGTTAAACTGGGATTTAGCAGAACTCCTCCTTTGAGCCGTTGCCAGTTAGCCTTGATTTTCATTAAACTCTCATATTTCTGTCTGAACACCCCCTCCTGACGGCTTGCTGTGGCTGAATTATCAATATTATTGGCGCTGAGCTCTCGCCTCGAAGCGCCTCGCCCCGGACCCATCAGATTAATTAAAAGGCTGCCGCGGGTATTGGGAGCTGCTTACCCGAGCCAGACGCACTCCCAGCTGCTATTACAGAGGCAGACGAGCAGGTCAGGGCGTGATTCGGCAGAGAACAGGCGGAGTCCAAACCTTCCCCGAGGGGCTCAGCTGTCATATCCTGTTTTACTGCTGCTACAGTAACTGCACCTGATTGAATGTGTGTTTTTGTAATGTTAGATGTATTGATCTTTGAAAGGCTTATGCTAAAATGTTTTAAATTAGTTTCTAAGGCTGTTTTCACATCTAGTTCGTCTTGTAAAGTATAAACCAGAGTTTGAGTTGTTGTGACTGTTTCTTTTTCATTTGGCTGAGTTGGTTTCACATTGCAGTGGCTGAAATGCGGCAGATTAAACACATGGGTGTTCATTGTTTGGTTAGACATTTGGCTAAGATACAAGTATGTGCAACTGTTGTGAAACTGAAGCATCTAGGAGCAACAGCAGCTCAGCCATGAAGTGGTAGACCACCCAGACTCACAGCAGGGCTGCCAAGTGCTGAAGCCCGTAACACATAAAAGTCACCTATTCTTTGTTGCAACACTCAATACAGAGTTCAAAACTGCCTCTAGTGGAAACATCAGCACAAGAACTGCACACAGCTGCACACAAGCCTCAGATCACTGTGCAGTGCCAGGCGTCAGCTGGAGTGGTGTAAAGCACAATGCCACTGGATTCTGGAGCAGTGGAAACGTTCTCTGGAGTGATGAATCATGCTTCACTATCTGGCAGTCTGATGGATGAATCTGGGTTCAGTGCAGGAGGAGGAGCGCACCAGCGCAACAGTGCAACACACACTAACACACCACCACCACGTCAGTGTTACTGCAATGCTGAGAATGATCCACCACCCAAACAGTACCTGCTCTGTGAGGGTCTATGGGGGTCCTGACCACTGAAGAACAGGGTAAAAGGGGACTAACAAAGTATGCAGAGAAACAGATGGACTACAGTCTGTAACTGTAGAACTACAAAGTGCACCTATACAGTAAGTGGAGCTGATAAAATGGACAATGAGCGTAGAAACAAGGACATGGTCATAATGTTATGCCTGACCAGTGTATATATTTCCAACAGCAAAGGGGTGATCCAGGGTTCACTTGGAAGTGGAAGGAGACTCGCGATACTTGGCGGGTCAGTTGTTTAGCGCACACCCTGTGTTTACATCTGTGAAAACAGCCCAAACAGAGTAGGTATGGTGAAGTTGATGCCCATGAATTGATTTCCAAGTAGTTTTTAGCAACCTGGTGTTCAGCATATGTGGAGCTTCTTCAGGCATGTTGGGAAAGCATCCCAGCTGGCTCCTCAGGAAGCTGCTTGAGAGAATGCCAGGAGTGCGCATCCAGGCTTCGATAATACTATGCATAGGCGTTCACCCTCCTGCGATTTTCAGCCATACAAACATGTTTGGTCACTAATGCTCAGCGTTTATTAGCATCTCTCAGTGGGAGCAGCGAGGTTCGTCCGCATTTGCTTTTCTAATTATCAACCGACCCACGCGGTCAATATTGACCATGTTAATATTGGGATTTCGAATTGTGTGCCTAACAACTGGCTCACAAAAGCAGGGACGGGGCATTAGCACATATTAATGACATTTCCTCCGCATGTTTTTGTTTGACTGTTGTTTTAAGGCAGGTGTTTCGTCTGGCTAATGAGTTTAATTTGGATTTCATTAACCCCCGGTACCGGGGGGTCGGAGGGGGGTTCGGATTCTCCGTGTGGACTCGCCGCTTCCGACTTAATGAGTTTGGATGTTTACCTCAGAAATCCACCAAAGACAATGAAGAGTCAACTTTGCTCAGATAAATGAGATGGCCCTTCTCTCTGACCCTGCGTGGATGAATCTCTGCGCTTTGTTCCAATTAAGGGATTTTTTTAAGGGGAAGGAAGGAGATCCAGGGTAACCTGTTCATGCTTTTTTAACAGCTGATGAAGTGGAGGGAGGCCCTTCCAAAGTCTTGCTCCGTGCGGAGGCACGTACACACCCGGGGTCTGAGCAAATGGCGCCCGGGAGTGTCAGTGCGTTGCGTCCTCTGCTCCAGAACGAAGCACGCCGTTCCAAGCAATTTGACTCCTTTACATTTAAATATCCAATAAAATAAATCAGCCCACCACTAATGCCCTCCGCCTATATCTTCCCATTTGGTGGTATTTAGAGCGCTTGGCGGTGCCAAGACTACGACTCCATTTAATTAAAAGAGAGGTAGGGACGGCCAAGGCAGAAAATAATGACGAATTTAGAAGTTTCATTAGCTGACATGCTCTTGAGGTTTTTTTTCTCCTCTCTCATTTCTCTTAATCTGCTTCTGTCTGTCTCTCTTTATCCACTGTTAGACAGGTCTGTCCCTCTCATATGTTCTAGACTGGAGTAATAAAAGCGTGGTCATGCAGACCGACTATAGCATTCTCGAATACAGGGTTTAAACCCCCAGCGCTCAGCCCACCCTCTCTGAGTTAATACGGCCGTGTCGAGTCGCGCCCCGTCTTTCTTAGCTGGCCTCTGGCACAGCACACCATGACTAAATAACACATCTGCTTGGGCCAGACACCCAGCCTACTGTCATCCTTAGGGGCTTGGAGGAGAGAGAGAGAGAGCAAGAGGGAGAGAGAGAGAGAGATGCACTACCCCTGCTACTCATCTCCAATACCAATAGCAGGCTTCACACGCCATTCAGCCTCAGCACTCACACCCAGAATCTGGCTTATTGTCTGACCAGCTGAGCTCAAGGCTGCAGCACAACTCTGATGCCGTCCACGTTGCCGTTGTTCCGTGATTCACGCCAACAGCGGCATACAGCCATGGAAGTGTTGCCATGGCGACAGCGTTACCGGCAAAAATGGATGATTATCAGAGGAGAGCTTAAGCAATGTTGATTCTTTATTTAAGGTGAGAAAAGGTTGGAAGATGCTCTGTGCGCTCCCATGTTTTGTTGTATAATACTGGCTGACTTCAACAATGACATGTTCGGCGTTCATGGCTCCAAAAAAGGTTCCACCGCCGCGGATGATGGCAAAAAGTTGGGAAATTCAAACTCTTGTTGGATTGCTGTGTTGCCGCTGGCAGTGGCAGACCTTTCCATCGCTGCTCTGAGAAACACAGCATTAGAAAAGTTAGCCTGAGTTCAAAACATTTTTTAGGATAAAACAGCAGCTAACAATGTAGCACTGCACACTAGCAGGAGCGGCGCTGTTACTCAAGTAACGTTATCGCCATGGCGACATTTACGTGGCTGCAGGCTGCTGTTGGCTCTGGACTGTCACTGATTACGCCAGTTCTGCTTTGCCATGTTTGCAAACGCTTGTCTTATTACTTTTAATTTACTTTATTCATGGTTTAGCCCCACCCCCTTTTGAAATGAAGTGGTCTTTTTTTCAGGAAAAGCTAATTTTCCCAGAATTCCGCATTTTTGGAATACTGTGCCAGCACAGTTACATTTAAACATACACTGCATGGCCAAAAGTTTGTAGACACATAATTTGATCATCTAACATTCCTTAAAAGCTTATTAATAGGAGTTTGTCCTACATTTGCTGCAGTAGCAGCCTCTACTCTGCTGGGAAGGCTTTACACCAGATGCTGCTGCGAGGATTTGATAGCACGCTGCCACAAGAGCGTTAGGGAGGTCAGGTGCTGATGTTGGATGATCAGTTCTGTGGACTTCAGCTCAGCCCAAAGGTATTGGATGGAGCTCCATCACTCCAGAGAATGCAGTTCCATTGCTCCACAGCCCAGCGCTGAGGGGGGGAGTGGGTGGGCTATACCCCCCCAGCTGATGCTTGGCATTGGGCATGTTGAGCTTAGGCTCATATGTAGCTGCTCCAGAGCGCCACATACTATTCGCCAAAGCTATTCTATGCTTTTCTTCTTTGTATTCCAAGGCCTCTTTTGTAAATTGCTATGCTGACCTACCTGCATGTAAATTACTGCCTTACATCTCTATTCACTCTGTGGGGAGCTGTATGTGTGCTATAACATTAATTTAACACATTGTTTGTTTATTTTAACTGTTTCTGGCTTACAACTCCAGGCCTCAGGGGATCCAGCTGAAAATAAGCCAGTTGGCCAACAATGGCACATTTACCTTTGAGTTGATTAATGTGTGGTGTACATGATTAATAAAGAGATAAATAACGTGGAAAGTAGACGGAAGGAGGAAGGAAAGGAACGCTAATGAGAGAAAGAGCAGGAAAGCAAAAATAAGAGACATGGAACGGAGGGGTGGATCGATCTGCTGGACTCCCTCTCATCTTGTTAAGATGTTAATTTGCAGCCATAATTGGCAGCAGGTCTGTGCGATTGAACAGCAGATAGCGGAGAGGAGGGCTTTGTGGCTGATTTGTGAATGACATAACCACCCCCTCTCCCCCAGGGCAGCAGTGGAGAAGCAGAGCAATCTGTAGAAATCAGTGAGGAGAGAGCGAAGGTGGGGTGGGTACAGGACAGAGGCTGGCTAGAGAGGGAAAAGAGAGAATTAAAACAGGTAGAAGAGAAGGAGGAAGGCTGGGAGAGGTGGAGTTAAAGAGGCCAAACATTAAACATCACCCCTGTACAAATATCAGAGACCATTTCCAGTCAAAGAGTACGTCATTCACTTCTTAGGAAATGTTCTTAGGAGATTAGATATAAATAATCAATAAGGTATAATAAATAAAGAAGGGAGTCAAACAAAGGGAAAGAGAGTCAAACG